GTACAGGTTGGACGGGAATGATGCAAAAATCGAATCGAATCTGGCCGGAAAATCGAAGCGGTTAACTTGCCTCTTTCCATCTTTCTCTCTTTCTCACTCTCGCTGCGATCGGTCTGTGGAGGAATCGCTGATGCGACTAGACATAACCTCGGAAGGGACTCGGTAGACGTGTCTGGCCGAAGACCGGTCAGGCGAGGGCGATCTGAAAAAGCCGGTGCTCGAGTCCCGTTGTGGATGTTGACAACGCGACAGGTCCAGACCGAGTCTGTCCTCAGATGGAGCATAAGAACGAGTTGAGTCACGAGGCTGAAGTCTGGGAGGCAAGAGATCGAGCCATGTCGGCATGACGACGTGTGAAGGTTGAAGCTGCCAGGCCGAGAAAGTATGAAAAGACTTTGTACTTGAAAGCAATGGCGGTTGGAAGGAGTCTGTGAATCGGCCGCCTCGAACACCGAAGGCAGCTATGATTGCAAGGGATTGGTGGTTTGAACTACTTTGAAACCGACACTTAAATTGTTTGGAAGACCTTCGCAAATGTGTCGCCTTGACAACCGAATGTTGTTTTGGTAAGAAAGTCTTCTTGAAGTGGTCTCCGCAAAAAAAGAAGGCCAAAAAAATTGGAAGGAATTGGTGAATTTCCTCACTTAGAAATCGACATTCTATTTGCTTGGAAGAACTTGACGAAGCTAAACTTGGTTGAAAGCTCTCCTGAAAAAAGAAGGCCAAAAGAATTGGAAGAAATTGGTGGATTGGTCTACATAGAAACCGACATTTAAATTGTTTGGAAGAACTTCACGAAGACCGAGATAATTTAAAAGAATTAGTGCATTGGTCCACTTAAAAAGCGATATTCCATTTGTTTGGAATAACTTCGCGAATTTGTCTGCTCGAAAACCGAATGCATAGATGATTGTAACGAATTGGTAGATTGGACCACTTAGAAACTTACATCTACATTAAATAGAATAACTCCTCGAAATACGAATGTAAACTTGGTTAGAAGGTCTTCGTAAATTGGTCTT